TCATTAAGTCACAACATCACCTCATCCTTTTACACACTAACTTCATATATTTTCTGCACTTCCACATTTTCCCCTCAGGACACAACTCTTCAAGGATACTCGTGTATCTGAGGGAGTAACCTTTTCCTCCATCTCTCCCTCTGTGCAGGTAGTACAGCTGATGATGGAGAACTGTCAACCGTGCGTTACAGACCCGAGGGGCTCGACCGTCTTGTCCAGCAGACTAACTTCAACAAGAAGGAGCTGCAGGTCCTTTACCGAGGATTCAAGAACGTCAGTCTGAGCTTTCTTTTTTTTCCATTATTGATTTTCCTTGGATAAGCATGTATATGAATATATAATATCTTAAAAATGTAGATCCATGTCAATTTTCATCATGTATGTGTATGTTTTTTAATGATATTTTTATAATTTCCACAGGAGTGTCCGAGCGGTGTGGTAAATGAAGAGACCTTTAAAAGCATCTACTCTCAATTCTTCCCTCAGGGAGGTCAGTCAGACTCACGCTCTTACATCCATTTACTTCAGCATTTATCTGAACAACAATTTTACCAAATATGAATTATATTATTAATCTGTCAAACCAGAGGTATGTCTATATCGAGTGAGATCCTGTATCTTCCACCTTCGGTGTGATTAAACCAGAGGTGCAGTTAAGGATCATTTGTTATGACCACAGGGTTTAACTCCAGTCAAACACTGCCTCAGATAATAACCCATACTCTTAACTTTGAGCGCTGCTCAATGGAAAAATCATCTGCTGTTGTCTTTACCAGAGATGAGATTGAAATTATATATTTTTAGTGACAGAAAGATTTTTAATCCAGAGAAGTGAAGAAAAAACTGACCTTTCACGGCCCCAAGTAGTGCCAAGGCTTAAATGTCTAGTTTAGGTGTGTATGTGACTTCACTGTCGCACAGTTTATGTTGTTTTCTTGTTCATTCAGCTGTCTATTTCCACGACTACAAATCTGTTGTACAAAATCACCAATATTAGTATATACAAAAGTATGATATAAAAAGGGTATATAAAATATGATGTTTTGTATTTCTCAACTTCATGATCCCATTGACTCTTTGAGCCCACAATCAGCTGCAGGACATAAGATATGATTTGATAGGATATGCTTTATTGTCCCTGTAGGGAAACATATTTTCAATAGTTAGTGTGAAACAACAATAACACAATTACATTAAAAACAACAATCTGAACACAACACCAGACGTACCAAATCACAACATTGCACATCCCAATTGTACATGTGTTGTGTGTAATGTACAGTTTCTAAGTCTTCTTCTCTCATCAGTTTAGGCAGTAATGACTCACATTTCACTGTATTGTACATCAGTGTGAAGACCACAAAGAAACACTGAGATATTTTAGTGTTCACTTTGTCTTCTCTGTTCAGATTCAAGTATGTACGCACATTTCCTGTTTGAAGCCTTTGACACTCACAACAATGGAGCGGTCAGCTTTGAGGTGAGAAACACTCTCTCATCAGAAACTGTAAAACCTCACGTGGTCTCAACCAGTGAATGAACAGTCTTCTACTTCACTCTCTTACTTTCCTGTGAACTATGACTGTGTGTTCACGTGCTCCTCTGAAGCTCCTATTTCCTGTGACGTGAAGTCGATTTTGGTATTTTCATGTAATTTGAAGTCAGAACATGGAAAAACAACAACCCCTTGACACTTCTTTCCAATATTTGCATTTTAACGAAGTGCAAAGAAAAAGGATCATCTGCAACAGGCATATAAATAGTTTAAAATGTAGGCAAGTTAATCATAAAAATAAAATGTTTGGTTTAAAAAAATCCACAATAAAAGCTACTATTTTAGAGCTTATAGTCAAATTATGTTACTTGGTTTATAATTGACGTCGACAACTCGTGTACCAATATTTTTGCAGACTTTCCGAGGCATCCATGTGAATTTTCCCAATCGGGAACCAATTTTCATGATTATTCCGACACTACGTGAAAGCACTATTACTTTTTAACTCCCACCTAGTGATTTTAAAACCACCCCCCTGTTCTCAGTCAAGTCTTAATGTTCTTCTCGCTGCTGCAGGACTTTGTCATCAGTCTGTCCATCATCTTGAGAGGCTCCACCATTGACAAACTCAACTGGGCTTTTAATCTGTACGATCTCAACAAGGACGGCTGCATCACCAGAGAGGTGCCTGTTCCATCCCTTGTTAGTGTGAAATGTCTCATGTCGTCAGCTTTTCTCTTATTTCTTCTCCCTTTTTTGTGCAGGAGATGACGGACATCATGCACTCCATCTATGACATGATGGGGAGGTATACGTACCCCAACATGAGCGACAGCGCCCCCAAGGATCATGTGGACATTTTCTTCCAGGTAAACTTACAAATAAACTAGAGAGAAGTAGAGAAATATATAAAGTATATGAGTATATACAGATGGACGACCCATAACCATTTCCTCCCACTATCCAGAACTAACCAAAATATATTTGAACCAGAATCTGCACTGTAGCATCAGAGCCCTGGTGGCGAGGTCTCACCGATACACTCGCTTGACCAATTCTTACACCTTCTTCTAATAGCATCAAACTAAAATGAACTTGAACAAACCTCAGTATGACTACCTAAAATGGCAGAAAGCATCTTTGAGAGAAATATATTTGACGTGAGACTTTTTATTTTGATCCATGTCCCTTCTACTAACATGAAGAGGCAGGGTTTGTGACATTTACTGCAGCCAGCAGTCAGGTGGCGATGGACACTTGGGTTTCTCTGTTGAGGAGCTGTCATGTTGTCCATCTAGACACACAGTCTCTCGTGATCATGTATTGCTTTTCTCCAGAAAATGGACAGGAACAAAGACGGGGTGGTCACCATTGACGAGTTCCTGGAGGCGTGCCAAAAGGTCATTTGAACTTTGAATAATACATCACAAACATATTTAATGATGTGACTAATGGAAACTACACTTTCACACCACAACTATTGAAATAATTACATTTTTTTGTTCCCCTTGTCCAGGATGACAACATCATGCAGTCCATGCACATGTTTGACAACGTGATCTAAAGCTGATTGGACGCAGATTTCTCGCCTGCCTTGAGCTCCTCTGCAGCTCATCTTCAGCCCTGCTGACGGAGCGGGTGTCATCTCTGAGAGTGACGACCTGAGGATATATATACTTTGTAAACCTCAAACCAGCTTTTATTATATCGGTGAACGGGTTGGGCTGAAGGAAGGAGGTGAAGTCTGGCTCCAAAATGACTTGACTCATGTGTAATTTCTTTTTTTGGAATGAGTGAAGGTAATGAAAGGTAGATTCTTGTATTTTAAGATAATAATAATGATGAAGGCTGTAGAAGCTCAACATCAAAACACATCAGTGAACAGATGATGAAGAAAACAAGATTTTCACATCAGTTGACGGCAGTTTCAACATCCTGGGACTTCTTCACTGCGATGACGATTATTTCACATGAAATGAACAGACACATGGAACAAATGGAACAAAGCCCATAATGTTGTAAAGTCTCACACACTTTCTATACTCACAGTTATACTACAATATTGAGTTTTAGCAATAATCTAAGTAACAATTTATCACGCCTCACGTTTATTAAGACTGTATGTTGTATCTGCATGATGTGTCTGTTTTCACTGGCCAATGAGATGTTTAGTTAAAGTGTGAATATATTTTCTATATGGACATGATGAAGGTGAATAAAACCATACAGTCCCTATGCAAAAGCAAAACTATGAATATGTTATTGACCAGAATACTACAACATACTGAAGTCACAGTCCTCCATAATATCTCCAGACGTCAGGTTCTGAGGTCATCCTCAGTATTTTATACACATTTGATTCTTATGCAAGCTATGAACTCTCCCTGAGGTTTTTTTTTTTTTTATCTCAGTCTGTCTGTTAGTAAGCAGGATGACACACAAACCGCTGGACGGATTATTACGAAACTTGGTGGAAGGGTGTGGTATGTGTCAGAGGAGTCATACCACACCCTTGGTTGAGATATGCGTTCTGCTGAGTGCCGTTCCAGCTGGCTTATCAATTTGAGTGATCTAAACATGTTTTTTTTCCTTCCCATTTGCAATTTGCCATCATAGTTTTCGTGACTAACTTATTCTAAGGAGAATTGTACCAACAGATCTCTTTGTTCTGCATGAAACATGTCGGAAACTTGCCAGATCCCAAAGTTTGGTTGCTTTGCGATAAAAAGGAAAAAGTTGGTGAATGAATATGTTAATGTCAGCAAATGAAAGAGACAGTGACACATAAGAAAGTTGAAATTGTTTGAAGTAAAAGGGAACATCCAGCAGAACCACAGCCAGAGCTGGGGAGCTTAACAATGCTTTGAAGTGAGTTCTGGCTACTATAGGAACAATAAACACACTTATTTCTTTTTTATGCAGAACAGACAAACAACAAAAGAATAAAAATGATTTAATGCTTAGTGAGTGAGAGACTGATTTGAAATATGCTGCAAGACACTGAAATAACAAGAGACACTAAGCCTCAATGAAGGTCTGAGTCTGAGCAAATGGATGATAGAATTTTGCTTTTTGTTTTTTTCCCACATCAGAGAAAAAGACAGAGCTGGAGTTAATAACGTACAAATCTGAAGTTACCAGTTATCAATGTGTAAAATCTACCTAAAACATTATGGCAAGAAGACATCGGTGTGGAAGAAACAAAAAAGAATCTGGTAAAAATAATGGAGAATGAGTGGAGGAGTTTCAGCACAGACTGAAGGTCTAATGGAAGCAACACGACAGAGCAGAACTATAGCTACACTCGCACTGCAACACAAACTTTTACACGTATGATCAAGGTCTCACTTGAATGTTAACCATTTAAATTTCGCAAGCGAGAAAAAGTACGAGATACTAAATTAAAGTTAAAGGATGTCACAGATATAACAGACGAAACTAAAGTAAAACTACATATATATACATACAGAGGCCTGAGTGTTGCACAGGTGGAGCAGTGTGTGTGCAAAGGTTAGAAACATTTAATAAACATGGACACAATTATTTGCTTAATATATCCTTTATTTTTATTAAACAAAATTTCAGTAAAAACTCTTATTAAGTAGAAAGACAAATTTCCCTGTCAGTAGTTTTTTCTCTAGCTGTAGGGCTGTCCCCAACTACACTATCTCATCTGTTAGACAAGTCTTTAAAAACACAATACCCACACTGTTGTGCTGCTAATCATTATAGTCAAAAAAAATCACCTCTTTAAGTTCAGTTTCTAATCAAACGTATGTTAATATTCTGGTAATGTGAATCTTTCCCAGTAAATAACTTATAAAAGATGAGAAACAAGTCATAAAAAACACAGACAACCATCTTGTTCACTTAATAATCCACATGTCAGCTGATGACGTTACAGTGGACGCAGCCTTACCCTGCTCTCTCACGTGTCTGTTGACGACATCCACCCCCCCGTTTGTTCACTCCTACTGAATTAGTGCCAAGAGGAAGAACGACTCTGTGTTAACAAACTCTTCAGTGACTCCTGGGTCACAGCGGCAGAGAAAGTTGACAGAATATAGCATCAAAACCACAGCATAGACAGCAGCGTCCATTACAAAGGCATTAAGAAAGAAAAGGAAAAGAAAGAGCGGTGAGCAGGTGCACCGAGCACGTTGAGCCACCTCTGGCAGTGTTTTCAACTACTATTCTGTTTTTTTTGTTTCTTTTTCTTATAAAAAAAAGGAAGGTACATGATTATTGTCACAAAATAAAATCTCTTTGGCATAGAATACCCACCCAAAAGCACAAACACACACACACACATACTCACATGCGCACACACACACTCTCTCAGAAGGTTCTCTAACAGAAACCTACAAGCATTGCCATCGTCAGAATTATAATCAGAAAAATTAGGCTATAAAACAAAGTAGAGCCCTGTTAGGATTATGAGTCCATCCTCTATGATAATTGCATATATTACATCAGGCTGAGAGCAGAGCGAAGCATCTCTACTGGAATCTCTATATTCTCTTCTTCTTTGTCCCATTATGTCCAATGTCCCCTCCTCTGTCACTTCTCTCTTTCTTCTGTGTCTATACAAAGATGAGAGAAAGAAAAAGAGCAAATGCTGATTTCACATTTCTGCAGGATCACAAACTCTCAGCTTCTCATTTTCTCAATCAGCTTTTTACAATCTGTGATATTCTGCCCAACATGTTACTACATGTGAGAGGTTTCTCTCCTGTTCTTGTCTGTGTTCTCCCTGCTGGCAGGACTCAGCTTAAAAAAAACTGTGAAGTCTCTACACCAATAAGGATGAGAGTCCTTTATCCAGAAATATGATTTTAATCAATGAGATGTATGAATTGCCCCTTTCATTTTTATAAAACAACAGAATCATATAGTTATATTGTTCAATGTTATCATGTTATCATCAGACCTTTGTCCTCCTAATCATGTTACTTACACCTAATTACCTCCACCAGTGTTTTCACCCCTGTCTGTTTCTGAGCAAGATTACGCAAAAACTACAAAACAGATTACCATGAAACTTGGTGGATGTGGTATGTGTTAGGGAAGAACTGGTGTAGATCTGGATCAAGGACAGGATCCAGGGAATAAATTAAAGGGATCTGATATCTGTGAGTTAGTGTAATTTGGTGTAGCTTGATTGAATTAAAGGAGACTGTTGGGCCCTGGCGGAGGTATGAACTCTGACCATCCCATTCCAGTTGTTGAATAGAGCACTTGAATCAATGGAAAAAAATAAAAGGGCTGTTTATATGTTTCCAGGTCACTGTCAATCAAATCTGATGACACCAAACTCATAATAAATACTAACTACAGATTTTTTAGCTTCTGGTTTTGCATTTTGTTCAGTAACATTGATGACAAAATATGACCGAAGTGTCCTTATAGGCTGAGGAACAATCCCAGCACGTACTGACCTTTAATAAGGGTATTGTTGCCTATCGAAGTTGCTGGCTGGGTATTCCTCAGGCATCATATTTGGATCCATGCCGTCAATGATCATGTCACCTGAATATGCTCCGTAACCTTGGTAACCAGTATCCAGCTCTGCAAGAGATAGCCAAATTATTTTTTTCACAAGTTATATACAGGACCAACTGATTTTGTCACTTAGCTTCCTGTGTAGGCTTCTCTGAGGGTTTATTTACTGCTGTTGTCACTGCTTGTTAGAAAACTGAACATGCGACTGGAAATCATCAACATTTTCACACATTTTACGCAGATTTCTGAGACATTGTGATCATAGAGGAGAAGCTGATCCCTTTTCTCTGAACCCTGCTGCTCAGCGTAGAAGACAGAAAAAAACAACGCCATAAAAGGAGAAAAGACAAGAGACGGAAAGAACAGGAATTAAGAGAAAGATCTGAAAGATGCAAACACAGATATGGAAGCACCAGGATGGAGCTTGATGGAGAGAAAAGCTTTTAGACAGACTTGGCAATGAGGGATAGGTTGTGAAGTGCTGAGAGAAAAAGACAGACATGAATAAAGATTAAGAAGTTTACTACGATGAAAGAAAAGTATGAGGTGACTGAGAAAAGTATCAGGCTACGTAGAATCTTGTGATATATCTATTTGGATCATAATGTGAAACTGACCAGATAGTGGTGGCCAAATTTATGATTGATTTGAAGAGGAAATTAAAGTTAAAAAGAGAACTGAAACCTATGTAATGTAGGCCGTCAACCTGTTAATACATGACAGCAAGTTAACACCGTGTGGTGCATTGACCTAGTGCTGAGGAATGTGCTGCATGTGCACATTTCAGCCATAGTTACTCACCATCTTGATAGTTTGAATCCATGGGGATACTGTTGTGGGCCTGCAGAGGTCACAACAGAGCAAAGGTCAAATAAAACCGTCAACGTTTAAATAGAAAGCTTATTAATAGTCCCATCCTATACAATCTGTAGTCCTGCTTTTATTATATAGTAACTGAAAACACTCACCATCTCCCAGGCAGCGGGGTCTTGTTTGAACAGAGAGTGTGTGAGTTCCACGGACACTCGCTTTTTGTAGTCGAGGTTCTTGTCCTCGGAGATTCTGAAGAGCACAGCCGCAGCGTATGTAGCTGAGGGGAAATAGAGCGGGACACATTCAGCGGTGTACAAAAAAAACATCAATTCTGTGCGTGTGTTATTGTGAATGAAAAGAGTACGTTTAAACTGACTTAGAAGGATGAAGAAAATTTTAGTAAGATATAAATGGTCAATACCATTCTGTTTATGTCTGTACACTATAGGCTGAAGTCAGTTAGCTTAGCACGAAGACTGGGAACAGGTGGGAACAGACGCCGTACAAAGGTAACACAATTTACCTGCCAAACCATCTATATCATCATGAACATGTTACATCTGGATGGTTTAAACCCCTAAAATACTAAATGTTAATGCCAATTAACTAAGATAACTTTGGGTGGTTTCATATTTACTGTAAAGACTCAAGATTTGGCAAGAAATGTCATGTTAAATGATATGTTTGTGAGTATCAAGTAACATTTTATTCAAACTAACCATATATTTATATAGAGTTTAACTTTGACTCTGCACCCTAATTAAATGTTTGAATTGTTTTCTTTTAATGAAGACATCACTATGTCATTCTGAAATGTTTCTGAAGTAAAAATAAAGAGAG